GGGCTTCTTTTTGCTCAAGGGTAGCATTCTACCACTTGTGCCACAGTGCCACTTCTGACTTTTTTGAATAATTTACTGGAGATGGAAGTCTTACGGGAGGGGCAGGCTGGGAAGGTGGCTCAGTGGTAGAGTGCTTGCCTTGCATGCATGAGGCCCTGGGTTCAATTCCTCAGCACCACATAAGCAGAAAAAAGCCAGAGTGGAGCTGTGGATCAAGTGGTAGAGCGCTAGTCTTGAGCTGAAGAGCTGAGGGGGCAACACCCAGGCCCAGAGTTCAGGCCCCATGACTGACAGCCCCCCCTCCCCTGCCAAAAAAGTGCCAAAGGGCCTGGCACTGGTGGCTTACACCTACCTGTAATCCTAGCTACTTAGGAGGCTGAGACCTGAGGATCCAGGTCAAAGTGACCTGGGCAGAACAATCTGTGAGACTCTTATCACCAAGCTGTGGTTCAAGTTTTAAGAGTGCCAGCCTTGAGCAAAAAAAGCTAAAGGACAACACCCAGGCCGCAGGACCAACACACACACATGAGAAAAATGATCAGTGGCTAGGTGCCAGTGGCTCATGCCAATAATCCTAGCTGCTGAAGAGATTCAGATCTGAGAATCAAGATTCAGAGCCAGCTGGGGCAGAAAAATATGTGAGACTTTAAAAAAAATAAAAGAAAACTAACACTGGCATCTGAATGTCCTGCATAGTGCAAAGCTCTCCACTCTAATGGCCAGTGGAAGATGATTTCTCCAGACCAGGAACAAAGGTTTCTCTTGACAGGCTGACTTGAGATAAAGAACAGCCAAGATAAGGCACCAGAGGCCCTGCCTGATGCCAGGCACAGCAGAGATCTGTCCTCAGCCACTGGCTGTGCTTCAAAGTTAATGCAGTACCTGGGTAACTGCAGAGTAAGTGAAAGGAAAATCTTCCCCCTAAGTTTACACATAGGCAAAATGTACCAGTTGGTGCATCCAAAATCTAAGGAAATCATTTAGGTAAAAGCAAATGCTTTAGAAGAAAAGAGATTAGTGGTGTTTAGACAATGAAAACAAAACAGCTCCCAAACCACCATCCATTCAGTCTTTATTCCACCAATCTTTTCTGAGCAGATGGGATTCCCTGTGATGGGCCTGGAGAATGCAGCAACCATCAGGCCACAAACACTGCCCAAAAGTGGCTCACACTGAGGCCAACATTTTCAGTAAAGCCTGGTGACGGTGGCTCATACCTGTAATCCTATCTACTCAGGAAGATGAGAGCGGAAGATCTTGGTTTCAAGCCAGCCCAGGTAGAGTCTGTGAAACTTTTATTTCCAATTAACCACCAAAAAGCCAGGAGTAGAGTTGTGGCTCAAATGGTAGAGTGTTAGTCATTCAGGGATTTTTTTTTTCACTTGTTTAAGAAGAGCATGTAAATGTGAGGATGACTGAGAAAGACCATGTAAGACATCTGCATTGAATGCCATTGAATGAATCTGGGCAAATCAGTTTCTCTGGGGCCAGGCAGTAGGTAGGCTACAACATGGCCCTGAGCCTCAGGGCTCTGCCTGCCATCCTCAAGCAAGGTTTAACATAAACCCTGGAAATGAAGCAGCAGCATGCCCGCCCCAAAGAGCTCACCTCCCAGGTGACCACTGACCTGTTTTCAGAAGCACTGACTGTAGCAGACTCCATTCTCTAGAAGTTTCCTAACACTAGCAATGAGCAGGAGAACCCACATAATTTCTGGCTGGAGGACACAAGTGACTCCAAAGAAATGTGTTAGGCTGGGCGTGGTGCTCAGAGGTGCAGCAGAAGCTTAATGTACATGAGGCCCTGGGTTTCCTCCTAGACTGGGAGGGGAGAGAGGGGAAAGGAAGGGGAAAAGAGACAGGAGAGGAGGGAGAAGAGGGAGGGGGAAGGGGGGCAGAGGGAAGAAAGGGAGGAGAGGGGGTAAGAGGGAAGAAGGAAAGGAGAGAGAGGAAAATTGCAGATGCAAAATCTGAGGGCAATCATCCTGAGCAAAGCAGTTTTACCTGTGGCTCATTGGTCCATCTTAAAAGAATGTTGTGTAAAGTCCATACCATGAGATTGCAATGAGGGTGAAGGAGACTGGTAACTGTTACTACCTTGGCAGGACAGGAGGAGACAGGGCAATTAAAAAGGAAGTTGAGGGCTGGGAAGATGGCTCAGTGGTAGAGTGCTTGCCCTGCATGCATGAGGCCTTGGGTTCAATTCCTCAGCACCACATAAGCAAAAAGAAAAAGGCTGGAAGTGGCGCTGTGGCTCAAGTGGTAGAGGGCTAGCCTTGAGCTGAAAGAGTTCAGGGACAGCGCCCAAGCCCCCATGACTAACAAAAAAAAAAGGAAGTTGATGCTAAAAGTATAAAAGAATATTCGTTTCAAATACTTCACACTCTTTAATTTGTATACACACACACACATTTTTTGTTTTTAATCTTTGTTTCTGCGGTGCAGGACCTCACATAATGCTAGACAAGTTGCTCTACCACTGGTTAAAATCCCCAACCAGATATACTTTCTTTTTCTTTTTGGTGCAAGGCCAGGGCTTAAGCTCAGGGCCTGAGCGCTGTCCCTAAACTTTTTTGCTTAAGGCTAGCGCTCTACCACTTGAGCTCCTCAGGTCCACTTCTAGCTTTTCAGTGGTTAATTGGAGATCAGAGTCTTACAGACTTTCTTACAGGGTCTAGTTTCAAACCATGATCCCCACTCAAATCTCAGCCTCCTCATTAGCTAGGATTACAGGCATGAGCCACCAGCACCTGGCTATGATGTTTTTAATATACAGCTTTACTGAGACTTAAGTCACATGGCATACAATTCTTCTGTCTAAAGAGTGGGTTTTAATATAGCTACAGATTTGAATGACCACAATCTAATTTAGAACATTTTGTTGCACCCCAAGAAGAAACTAATATCTATTAGCAGTCATTCCCCTACTGCGCCCCAACACTCCTACCCCTACTTCCTACTCTAGATAACCAATAATCTATTATCTGACTACTGATCCACACATGATACATATATGAAATCAAACAAAACTTGATGTAGGCACTCATTTCATCGACAGCCACACTTGTAATTCATCTCTGCCAACATTTCAAATGCAAATGTTTTTAATTACTTACATAAAGATGCAATCAAGCCTTCTTCAGAATCTGCAATGTTTCCCGATAAAGACAAGTAGACAAAAGTGCCTTCCTACAGAGAAGAAAACAAAAGTGTCCTGTTTACTGGCACCACTACAGGATAGCACCACAGACCTGTGCACTGCAGGGCAGCACCCTCAGTATTCTGAGTTCCACACCATCCAGAGCTTTGTGGGGTATGATTCTGGAGCCTAGCCTACCAAGACTTGAAAATGAAGATACCTAAAGCTAGTGTATCATTAAATACTTTTTTAAAAAAATGCAAACTAGTATAGCCATTATGTTAATCAGTAAATCAGTATGGCATTTTCTCAAGACTAAAAATAGACTTTCTCCATTTATGACCCCAGTATACCACTATTGAGCACTTAATTAAAGGAGAATAAATCAATATACCAGAAAGTCACCTGCTACGCTGTTTACTGCAGCCTTATTCACAATAGAATCAGTTGAGGTGGCCAACAACAGATGAATAAAAGAAATATGATAGATAGAATAGAAAGACAGCTAGATGTGATATATATGTGTGTGTGTGTATACGTATCACTACATATATAGTGATATATATAGATAGATAGATACAGATAAAGATGTAGCTGGGTGCTGGTGGCTCACGCCTGTAATCCAAGCTACTCAGGAGGCTGAGATCTGAGGATCGCAGTTCAAAGCCAGCCCAGGGAAGGAAAGGCCATGAGACTCTTATCTTCAATAAACCTCCAGAAAACCGGAAGTGGTACTGTAGCTCAATTGGTAGAGTGCTTGCCTTGAGCTGAAGAGCTCAGAGACAGCTCACAGGCCCAGAGTTCAAGCCCCACAACCGACCAAACACACACACACACACACACACACACACACAAATAGATATAGCACGCATATATACATATACCATTGGGGGGAAATATATATATATATATATTACATATACATATTACTGTAGAAATAGTTGAATGATGGGAAGAGAAGGTGATAGGGTGAGACTGATTGGAATATACTGTAATACTAATGACAATGTAACAATGAAATCCTCCTCTGTGTAATTACTATAAGCTAATGTTAAATTTTTTTTGGGGGGGTCCAGTCATGGGGCCTGAACTCTGGGCCTGGGCGCTGTCCCTCAGCTCTTCAGCTCAAGGCTAGCGCTCTATCACTTGAGCCACAGCGCCGCTTCCAGCTTTTTTCTTTTTATGTGGTGCTGAGGAATCGAACCCAGGTCCTCAAGCATGCAAGGCAAGAGCTTTACCACTGAGCCATCTTCCCAGCCCTAATGTTAAAAATTAAATAAATACCATTCTTGGCATTATAAAATCAGAAATACATTTAACTGTTCTATTAAGTAGAATATTCCATGGATCTTATCTCTTTGAGAAGAACCTCATAGTAGTTGTTTTTTGTTTGGTTGGGTTTTTTTTTTTGAACAATAAAAATCCAAGCTCATCTTAACAAAAATAGTTGTTGAATGGCTATACTAAAGTATAAATTGCCCACATAAGGGTGATTTTTTAAAATTTTTGGCGCTTGAACTCAGAGCTGGCATTTTACCAGTTGAACCATGTTTTCAACTTTTTTTGTTTTGAAAGTCCTGGGGCTTGAACTCTGGGCCTGGGTACTGTCCTTGAGTTCTTTTGCTCAAGGCTAGCGCTGTGCCACTTCGTTTTCTGGTGGTTTTTATTGGAGATAAGAATCTCAGGAACTTTCCTGCCCAGGCTGGCTTTGAACCACAATCTTTAGATTTCAGCCTTCTGAGTAGCTAGGATTACAGGTGTGAGCTGCCAGTGCCCCGCTTCAACTTTTTGCTATAGATAAGTCTGTTGGGTTTGTCTGCCTAGGCTGGCTCTGAACTGTGATCCTCAGATCTCAGCTTCTGGAGGAGCCAGGATTTCAGGTGTGAGCCACCAGCATCTGGTTCCATGAGGGCAAATATGGAAAAACATAACATGCTTAGACATTCCTCGATTTAGGTAATATCTACTATTAAACTTAAAATTTCCCTGTTACTGAAATGTTCCTTTTCCTTGAATAAACTCTGTTGCTGGTCATTACCTTTTCCTACTTGCTTTTTTTTTTTTTTTTTTGGGTCCAGTCGTGGGGCCTGAACTCTGGGCCTGGGCGCTGTCCCTCAGCTCTTCAGCTCAAGGCAAGCGCTCTACCACTTGAGCCACAGCGCCACTTCCGGCTTTTTGCTTATGTGGTGCTGAGGAATCAAACCCAGGGCGTCAGGCATGCAAGGCAAGCGCTCTACCACTGAGCCAACTTCCCAGCCCTCCTACTTGCTTTTAACCAAAACAATTGTTTTGTGCAACATTAACCTTGCGTGCACCTCCTCTCATTCACTACAGTACCACTTCCCAGTTAACCACTTCTAGCCACTCTATCTATCCCTCTAGTGATTTATCTCATTAACTCATAATATACTATTTCTTTAAGACCAGTCAACCTCAAAAGTTACTTCCAGTCCTTTGAGTTCTTGAGAGCTGTATTATTCTTTTGCTGGTTATTTAAGTGTGTTAACATTATAAACTGAAAATTTTCAGCCTGTTTATTCATCAGTGTGGTGCAGTATATAGACTTACCTTGTAAAAGGAAAAAATCTCTCTCTCTCACACACACACACACACACACACACACCCCATGGTCCCTCACATCCTTTCCAACTCTCACCTTCTGTCCACTGCTTGTGTAGCTACTGTTGAAATTGATTACATGTCATATATTTGCCTTGGTTGCTTTATCTGTAAGTGGATTTAAAAGCTGCAAAGCCCCTCAATAGCCTTTATAGTATTGTGACTACAAGAAATACTGTTCTCTTCAATGGGACACAATTTCTTTCTCTGCAGATCCAGTATCTTGACCCTATGTCATTAAGAGGAGTACCTCCAATGGAATATCCTCTTTCTTCAAGAACTTCCCAAAATTATACTACAGTTTGTGTTATATTTGGGTCATTACCCATAAGTTACTTGTAAGATATTATTTCACTCACAGTTTGTAATAGCCTTCCAGGTGATGGTGGCTCACATCTACAATCCTCGCTACTCAGGAGGCCAATCTAAGAATCACAGTTTGAAACCAGCCAAGGCAGGAAAGTTTGTGAGCCTGTTATCTCCAGTTAACCACACCAAAAGCCGGAAGTAGAGCTTTGGCTCAAGTGGTAGAACATTAGCCTTGAGCAAAAAAAGCTCAGGGACAACACCTAGGCCCTGAGTTCAAGCCTCAGGAACAGCACGGAAAGGAGAGAAGTGTATGTGTGTGAGAGAAAATGTGACTGAATGAGTGAGAGACAGAGAGAGAGAGGAAATGACATTCTCAGCTTATAAGTATCTTCCAACTTTATATCCATTTAATCCTGGCTTCACAGTGTCTTTGAAGGTTTATTTTTTATTTATTTACAGGCTTGAGCCACCAGCACCCGACTTGAAGGTGATATATTTTTCACTCACAATCTTCATAAGCACTAAATTGGTAAGCACGGTTTAGATGCATATATTTAACCATCTTCTTTAAAAAAACATGTATATGTTCATACAAACAAATACCCTCAGTCCATTAGCTTTAAAACTTTATTTTCACTAGCCCAAGTAGAAAAATTCATACCATTTCCTTAACTTGGTCTGGGAACTTTCTAAAGAAAGTATCACTGAAGTGGTCTGGAGAGGCAAAGGGGCTGGGCTGAATTTGACCCTCTGTAGGCCTCAAGCTAAGTTATCTGTAAGATGAAAGGCCTTCTAAAATTAGATAGTGGATCTCATCCAAAAACTGGATGTGACTTCCACTGACAACCTTGCTAACTGAGCCCAGGAGCAAAATATAGATTCCAGTACTAGGCTGGGGACCTTTCCTCAGAAGGAACTCTATGGGTAAGGGGAAAGCAGTGACCTGGAGATGAATTATATGCAGGAACCAATGAGTGTCTAATGAAGCTATTCCATTGTATATCTACCTATTGAAGTTCTACTCATATTTCAAATCTCAGCTCAAATTCCCCTTTCTTCCAAGAATCCCAAGAAGATGCATTTCTTTCCCTGCTCTATCTCCATGTTTCTAGCTTTGTGTTATTGTAATGACCAGGTGCCATTAGATCACACATTTCTAGAATACCATTCTGGAATACCATCATCATTCTCAAAAACCTAGGAAGATAGTTTGTGTTTAATATACAGGCTGACCTCTGTAATTCTAGATACTCAGGAGGCTGAGACCTAAGGATTGAGGTTTGAAGCTAGCTTGGGGCAGGAAAGTATATGAGCCTCTTATCTTTAATTAACTTCCAAAAAACGAAACAAAAAAGCCAGAAGTGAAGCTTTGCTTCAGGTGATAAGAGTGCTAGCCTTCAGCAAAAAAGCTGTTAAGACAATTGGGCACCGGTGGCTCATACCTGTAATCCTAGCTATTCAAAAGGCTGAAAGCTGAGGATTGAGGTTCAAAGCCAGCCTGGGCAGGAAAGTCCATAAGACTCTTATCTCCAGTTAACCATCAAAAAGCTAGAAATGAAGCTCAGCCCAAGTGGTGAAATGCTAAGATTGATCAAAAAAGCTCAGAAATATTGCCTAGCACAACTACCACAAACAAAAACAGGCCCACATGTTGATTACATGCAATAAACGTTAAAAACACATTTGGTGAACTTCCACGGGCAGCCTAAGATTGGTTCTCCTGACTAGCTATCCTTGAACCATGTAGTATTAGCTGGGTCACAAGATGGCTTTATTCTCAGGTTTTTTTTTGTTTTGTTTTATGTCTATTGTGGGGTTTGAACTCAGGGCCAGGGCACTGTCCCTGAGCCTCGCTATGGTCAAGGCTAGTGTTCTTATCACTGAAGCCTGGCTTCAACCTAGTGGCAGGTACCAACACTGCTTTACTGCCAAATACTCCCTTACCAGGACCCAAGAGAAATTTTCATATTGAATTTGGCAGCGTGCTGAACATTTCAAACACTTGTAAGCGCCAATAACCACCAATAAAAATTAAAGAGAACATGCCTGCTGGGCATGGTGATGCACAGCTGTCGTCCCAGCATTCAGGAGGTAGCGGAGGAGCATCTCCAATTCAAAATCAGTGTGTGCTACACAGTGAGACCTGGCCTAAACTTAAAACTAAAACAATCACCTTTTGGTAAATGACCAGGCATCATAATGCCAGCCCTGGTGTCCTCGGGATGACACATGCTGGACATATTTCTTCTTGCTGTCCCCTGAGGACTACAGAAGATGGTGAAGAGGTGGGCATTTGATTCATGGATGGCTTTCTTTTTGTATTTTTAATTTTTTTGTGCCAGTATCAAGGTTTGAGCTTAAGGCTTCACTATCTCACTTGATAGTTTTGCTCACAGATGGTTTTCTACCACTTGAGCTATGCCTCTAGTTTGGCATTTTGATGGTTAACTGAACATGGAAACTTGTAGACTTTTCTTCCCAGGCTGGCTCTAAATTACAATCCTCAGATCTCAGACTACCTATGTAGTTAGGATTATGGGTGTGAGACATCAGTGCTTGGTTGTAAATTTTAAATAATAAACCACAAGCAAAGTAAGTGTGTGTGTGGGGGGGGGGGTCGTTCCAATGCCAGAGCTTAAAACTCAGGACCTGGAAGCTATCCCTGAGCTTTTTTTTTTTTTTTTAAATTCTCAAGGCTAGTGTTCTACCACTCAAGCCACCACTCCACTTCCAGCTTCTTTTTGTTGGTTCACTGGACATAAGAATCTCACAGACTGTCCTGCCCTGGCTGGCTTTGAACAAGATCTCAGCTTTCTGAGTAGCTAGGATGATAGATGTGAACCACCAGTGCCCAGCTCAAGCTAATCTTAAACTAAGCAGTGAATATACAGACCCACAGTTCAGTGCTTTTTTACTGTACATGTCTAAAATATGTTTTAGTAATAATTTTTGAGTAAGCCTAGCAACCTGTTCAACTCCTCTGTCCTTTGAGAGATTGTATGTACAAGTGGTAATTTAGAGATCACTTCTATTTAAAAAAGTTAAAGATATTTACAGGGCTGAGAAGGTGGCTCCATGGTAGAGCGCTTGTCTTGCATGCAGGAGGCCCTGGGTTCGATTCCTCAGCACCTCAGCGACACATAAGCAGAAAACGCCGGAAGTGGCACTGTGGCTCAAGTGGTAGAGCACTAGCCTTGAGCTGAAGAGCTGAGGGACAGCTCCCAGGCCCAGAGTTCAGACCCATGACTGACCAAAAAAAAAAAAAAGATATTCATTATCTCTCATCTCCACACATTATCAGGAAAAAAAGAATCCCAGCATTCCAGCAATACTTGTTACCTCCACATATACAACTGTGCTTTCCTTTTCAACACGATAAACTTTGATTTTCAGTCAGGATAGATCAGGGAAAAGGAAGCATGGGAAACAGCCAGGAATCCAGAGACAAACACTAAATTAATAGCTTGATTCAAGGCACTGTGTTCGCTTTCAGCCTTATACTTCCTCATAATTAGCTAAAAGGAAAAAGCAAAGTCTTTGTCTTGAAGTAGGGAAGTAGGAAGAACGGGTCTGGCTGCTTCCGTCTTGGCCACATGGTGGTTGGTAGAGTCTGGCATCTTGTCTTCATGATGAGGGAAGATGAGAAGCTCCACCTCTCAGGTGATGAGTATGTCTCAATCCCTAGAGGCACAGGTGGAGACTTGGCTCATAGGTTACTCAACCTGTCAATCCAGTGCTTGGGACTGAGAGTTTCTGGTGAGCTTGCCCCCTGACCTATTTAGGCCCAGAACACAGCTCAAGGGTCATTGCCATGCCTGTGTCTCCACATTCCTGTCCAGTCTCCTGTCTCCTGTCTCTTCTCAGGTCAACATGGTATCCCAATTCAGCTCTCATTGGAGCTGAATTGGTTTGTTGGTATTGGTTTTTGTTCTTTCTTTCCTTTCTGGCCTTCATGGCATTCCTAGCAGTGTAAAATGTTATTTGCTAGCTGCTGGTCTTTGAGACAGGAGTCCACTATGCAGTCACCAGCTTTTTAATAAAGACTCGAAGATTTGGCTTCTCAAAATGTGGCTCTTCTGATTTCTCACCTTACAATAGTCTCTCTCTGACCCTGCCTGCTACCCCAAACAATCAATGTGCTTAGGGAACTGAACAAGGAAAGAGAAGGGGTGGGAAGGAAGGAAGGAGGAAGGGAGGAAGGAAGGAAGGGAGAGAGAGAGGGAGGGAGGGAGGGAGGGAGGGAGGGAGGGAGGGAGAGAAGGAAGGAGGAAGGGAGGAAGGAAGGAAGGAAAGAAGGAAGGAAGGAAGGAAGGAAGGGAAGGAGGGAGAGAGGGAGGGAAAGAGAGAGGGAGAGAAGGAGGGAGGGAGGGCAGGCTATCTAGGGAATAGGGAGAAAACTTTTCAGAGATGGACACCCATCTTAGTTGGAGCATATGACTGAATCAATCCTTTTTGTGAAGGGAAGGAAGCCCAAACATTAAAATCCAAGTTTAATGAGTAGGACAACTTCCATATATTTGGCTCAACTGATAAAATTATGTTTAAAGCCAGGCGCCAGGGCTCACGCCTGTAATTCTAGCTGCTCAGGAGGCTGAGATCTGAGGATTGAGGTTCAAAGCCAGCCCGGGCAAGAAAGTCTGTGAAACTCTTATCTTCAATAAAAACCACCAGAAAACGGGAAGTGGTGCTGTAGTTCAAGTGGTAGAGCGCTCGCCTTGAGCTAAAGAGCTGAGGGACAGCGCTCAGGCCCAGAGTTCAAGCCCACGACCGGCCAAAAAAAAAAAATTATGTCTAACAGTAGAGATGATGAAATTACCATGTATTAGGTTAAAATGGAGTGCTTATGTCCTAAGGTGAATTTGAGTTGAACTACAACCTACTTTTCAACATCAGTACCAGAGACATCAAAACATTCATTGCAACTGTTATTAGATGGGCCAGCATCAATGTCTAGATTGTGTACAATCTATTTTTCTTTCACTTTACTAATAAACTTTCTTGGTCTCTACCTCAATATGTCCTCAAAGTCTTTATTATACAACATCAAGAATTCAGTACCTAATGGCCAAGCAGATGCCTCCTCCCAGGAGCATCTCTGGTCACCCATCTACTACCAGTTCTTTGGTGACTCTGCGGGTACTAGCACTGTCAGTTCTGGTAAAGGTTTGTCTAGATTCAAAGTTGGTGTATTTTTGTTGTTATTGTTGTTGATCATGGGGGCTGAACTCTGGGCCTGGGTGCTGTCCCTCAGCTCTTCAGCTCAAGGTTAGCGCCCTACCACTTGAGCCACAGTGCCACTTCTGGCTTTTTTCTGCTTATGTGGTGCTGAGGAATCAAACCCAGGGCCTCATGCATGCCAGGCAAGCGCTCTACCACTGAGCCAACAAGTTTACAAAAAAAAATTGTTTCACAATAGGTTTTTTTTTGGTTAGTGTATGAGACAGACATTTCAATAGAACTTTCTCATTTAGCCCAGTTGGCAAATAGTAAAGGTTTGTATTACAGTAAATGTGAATTTAGGTCAACTGTCCTGCTTACTTACTGATGGGAAAACCATGGGATGAAATTTTAAAGTGTGTGTGTGTGTTTTGCCAGTCTTGGGACTTTGTTTTACCAGTCTTGGGGCTTGAACTCAGGGCCTGGGCTTTTTAGCACTTTACCACTTGAGCCAACTGCAGAATTTCCAGCTTTTTCTGTGTATGTGGTACTGAGGAAACCTGCAGGGTTTCATGCATGCTAGACAAGCACTCTACCACTAAGCCACATTCCCAGCCCTTGCTGGGGAGTGGAGCCACAGCTCTCCTTCTGGTTTCTGGTGTTTAATTGGAGATGAGCCTCATGGACTTTTCTGCCACGGGGTGGGTTTGAACCCCGATCCTTAGATCTTAGCATCTTGAAGCCTGAAGTAACATACAGTGCAAGCTTTAATCAAAATTAAAAAAAATTTTTTTAAAGGCACTAGGACTTCACTATTTGGGGGCCTGTTTCACCCCTAAGAAATAGAGACAATAACTACTAGCTTAGAAATTTTAAGCTCAGTATTGTGTCTGGTTCATCCAAGAGATGGTGGTTACCGTTGAAGTACAGGGTTTTATTTGCTTTGTGTTGTGGCCAGCCTGGACTTTGTGATTTTAAAAAAAAAAACAGACACAAAACACCCACCAACGATCTCAGCTCCCAAGTGGTCCCTCCAACCCCCTACTCAGAACTGAGGTTCTTGCCTGTGGGTAGCTTGAAATCAACTACGTCAAAGCAGAAATTCCCCCAGCGATGCGGGGTTGGGGGGTAAGTTAACAAAGGAAAGAGCAGCACCTGAGCCTAGGTGAATTCAGGATGGTGCAGCCTCTCCTCAGGCCTGGGGGGGGGGTGGTCTCTGCAGACTCCCCGCCGTCTGGATCACCCCAGGCTCGGGAAGATGGAGGGGCGCCCCATCCCCCACGAGGCCGGCGTCGGCACTTACCAGCACAAAGTGCACCAGGGCGTCGTAGCAGAGCCAGGCGAGCGCCCCGCGGTCCGCCGCCCCGCGCCCGCGGCCCAGGCGCAGGCCCAACGCACAGCCCGCCACCAGCAGCGCGGAGCAGAGCAGCAGCGAGCGGCCTGCCGAGGCCCCCAGGTCCCAGCCGGGTTCCATGCCGCACGCGCAGACAGGAGGAAGGCCAGGAAAGAGAGGCTGCGGAGCTAAGGCAAGGCTGAGCAACCCTGGGCCCCGCGCAGGGGCGGGGCGTCCTGGTGGGCGTGGCGAAGCACAGCCTGCAGAAACCCAAGGATTTGCTCCTTCCCGGGATGCTGAGTACCCAGAATGGCATCATACCTTAAGAATGCTCCAGCTTTTTAATAAAGGCTCCCCAAGAGTTGACCTCTCAAAATGTGGGCGCCAGTGGCTCAGGCCTATAATCCTAGCTACTCAGGAGGCTGAGATCTGAGGATGGCCGTTGAAGGCCAGCCAGGACAGGTAAGTCCCTAAGATTCTTTATTTCCAATGAACCACCAGAAAACCAGAAGTGGTTCTATGGCTCAAGTGGTACAGCACTAGCCTTGAGCAAAACCTAGGCCCTGAGTTCAAGCCTGACGCCATACCCCCCCCCCCAAATTATCTTAAACACCAGCCAAACCTGGTTCCAGACCAAACCCAAATGACTCAAAATAGGGACCACACATATCAATGAGGTTTGACTTCTAACAGGATGTGGCAGGGTGGTGGAAATTTGGCCAATGGAAGAGTTGGTAAATTCTGGGACATAAAGGTGTATAAATCTTGCCTTATGAGTCTTCCCTGAAAAGCAGCGCAAAGGTGTTTTCTGCCACCATTAGACAATTTTAAGCCCATATAACAGACTGATCATATTTTCATTTCTTAAAAATCCAGAAATACAACGGAAGTCCAGTGGGAAGGGTACTAGACATGAAATAAGTCACACACAAAAATACTGTACGATTCCACTTCTGAGGTATCGAAACTAGTCAGATTCATAGAAATAATCTGAAGATGGGTAATAATGTTAACATATTTAACAGTACTGAATACTTAAAAAATGGTTAGGAGATAAGATTTTGTGACATGTATTGTCATCAATTAAAAAAAAGTTGCTTGAGCCAGTGCTGACATTTCACATCTGTAATCTTAGTTGCTCAGGAGGCTGAGATCTGAGAATCATGTATTGAAGCCAACCTGGGCAGCAAAGTCTGAGACTCTCATCTCCAATTAACCACCGAAAAGCCAGAAATAGAGCATTAGTTTTGAGCAAAAAAAAGATCAGTGCATAGGTCTGGCAAAAGGAAAAGAAAGAAAAGGAAAGCAAAGGGAGCTTGGAATGTGGCTCAGCTTGCTTAGCATGCATGAAGCCTGGGTGGGGGGGGTTGATTCCTCAGTACCACAAACACAGAAAAAGCCAGAAGTGATGCTGTGGCTCAAGTGGTAGAGTGCTAGCCTTGAGCAAAAGGAGCTCAAGGACAGTGCCCAGGCCCTGAGTTCACAAGTCCCAGGACTGGCAAAAAATAAAAATAAAAAAAAATTTAAAAAATTAAAAAAGGAAGGAAGGAAGGAAGACAGGTAGGCAGGCAGGAAGGGAGGGAGGGAGGGAGGGGGGAGGGGGAAAAAGAAAGGGAAAGGGGAAAGAAGAGCCTGGTGCTGGTAGCTCATACCTGTAATCCTAGCTACCCAGGAGGCTGAGATCTGAGAACTGAGGTTCAAAGCCAACCTGGGGAGGGAAAGTCCCTGCCACCCTTATCTCCAATTAGCCATCTCCAAACCAGAAGTGGTAGGGCCCTAGTCTTAAGCACAAAGCTCTCATGCATCCAAGCTCTGAGTTAAAGCCCCATGACCAACAGGAAAAAAAAAAAAGAAAGGAAAGGGAGGGGGGGGAGAGAGAGAGAGAGAGAGAATAACAGCTAGGAGCTGATGGCTAATGTCTGTCATCTTAGCTACTCAGGTCTGAAGATCTGTTTCAAGCCAGCACACGCAAAAAATCTGACGTTTTTATTTCCAATTAAACAAAAAACTGGAAATGGAAATGTGGTTCAAGTGGTAGAGTATGAAAAGCCAAGCAAGAGCTTGAGGCACTGAATTCAAGCTCTAGTGCTGGCACATAAAAACAAAATGGCTGGACACATAAAAAACCTTTTGTCCTAGTCATTTCCTGTACCTTTTTTAATGTAGCTGTAAAATCTGATGATATTATCTTTTGTTTGCACATCTATTGCTAGTTTCTAGCATCTAGACTATGAACCCCACAGGGACTTGTTTACTGCCATTATCTCAGCCACCTACAGAGTTTGGCATGTATTAGTTGTCCAAATAACTGCTAACCGAAGGAACAAGGCCCACCTTGCCATCTATGCCCTGGATACCTTCTGTAACTAAGAAAAAAGGACAATTACTCATCTTTGAATAGGGAGTATATTCTCCACCCCCACCCCTTTCTCTCATGCCAGAACTAGGGATTGAAACTTTGTGCTCTTGCCTAGCTTCCCCAACCCCCCCCTCAAAGCAGTGTTTTACCATTTAAACCACATCTTCATTCCCATCTTTATGATGAAAATTGGCTTGACTAGAGGTAAGTCTCATGGACTTTCCTGCCCAGGCTAACTTTGAACCTCGATCCTTGAATCTCAGCCTGAGTAGTTAGGATTACAAGCATGAGCCACCAACACCCAGCAGTGTATTTCTCAATTGTATTTTCCCTACTAAATTGCTCACATCATACTTTAAAAACTTGTCTTCTTCTAGAACAAAATAAAAACTGGACTAAACCAAACTGATTCTACATTGTCTTCATACTCTGCTCCTTTCTACTCTAGTCTCTGCCTTCATTTCACACTGATAAAACTTAAGGTGACTAGTGGCCTCTCTATTATCGCTAAAGCCAGGGACAGGTTATGTTCTTATCTTGCTTGACTGTTAGCAGCACCACTGGCCCCTGATTTCCACTCAGTTTTCTGAGATTCCCAAGAGTTTCTTCCCACATCTCATTTCCTTTGCAAGCTCATGCTCCACTCCATAGTCAGGAAATGCTGGGAGTTCCAGTCTTTTTTTTTTTTGGTTGGTCGTGGGGCTTAAACTCTGGGCTTGGGTGCTGTCCCTGCACTCTTCAGCTCAAGGCGAGCGCTCTAACCACTTGAGCCACAGTGCCACTTTCAGTTTTCCAGTGGTTTATTGGAGATAAGAGTCTCATGGACTTTGCTCCCCGGGCTGGCTTTGAACCGTGATCCTCAGATCTCAGCCTCCTGAGCAGCTAGGATTACAGGCATGGGCCTCGAAGTTCCAGTCTTAAGCCCTGTTCTCACTCCAAACATTAGACCTGTGCACTGCCCATTGAAATAGGCAGAACACTCAAATCTCAATGCTTGATCTCTCTATAAAGCTGGGTTCCAGTCCTGGGGCTTGAACACAGGTCTGGGTCCTATCCCCTTTTGCTCCAGGGTAGTACTCTACCATTTGAGCCACAGCTCCATTTCTGGGTTTTTGGTGGTCATCTAGAGATAACCATCTCACAGGCTCTTCTCCAAGCTGGCTTTGAACCACAATCCTCAGATGTCAGACCCCTGAGTAGCTAGGATTACAGGCATGTGACACTGGTGCCAGGCCAGTATATTTTCAACTGCTCTACTTGACAGTCACTTGGTTATCTCAACTCAACTTTAAGTTCACCATCTTCCACTTTCTACACCAGATCCTCTTCCCTATATTGTTGTTCAACTTAGGAATTATCAGTCCTTATCTCCAGTTAGGAATCATCATTCAGTTTCCTCTCCCCAGTGTATCTAAGACATCACCAACCTTGTTCTGTTTTTGTGGCCAAATACCCCTTCACCTATGAACACCAAGGACCGTTGACCATCCCTTGCTAATATGACCAGTGTCCAGCAACCCATCACTTGAAGGGGCATTTTCCTGTTTTCATGTATGTGTGTGTATAAATGTGTGCCCCTACTGGGGTTTAATTCAGGGCCTAGGCACTGTCCCTTAACTGTTTCCTAACCATGTCTAGCTTAACAACAAATGTAGGTGTGGTAGGTACCATATATAGCTTCCACAGATGATTTGGAGATAAAGTTAAGGCTACACCTCAGTTTTCCTAAAATGCAGAAAGAAAAGTTATCTTTGTCCTATGTGTATGTGTACAAGTGCACATGCTCATCCTAGAGCTTGGACTTAGGGCCTGACCACTGTTCCTTAGCTTTTTTGCTCTACCACTTGAACCACAGCTTCACTTACGGCTTTTTGGTAGTTAACTGGAGATAAGAGTCTCACAGACTTTCCTGCCTGGGCTGGTATCAAACCATGATCCTTACAACTCAGCCTCCTGAGTAGCTAGGATTACAGGCATGAACCACTGGCACCAGGCTGTCTCCTTTTTTTATTATGTATCTGGGTAAAACCTGAAAACTGCTCAGAGAGTCATGTTTTAGGCTGCCTCATCATTTGGGAGAAGTTTTCTTACAAAAATTTTTTTGGCCAGTCATTCAAAGCCAGGAAAGTTTTGGTCCCCAGAGGACATCTGGCAGTGTGTAGAGGCACTTCTGGTTGTGTTGACAGGGAAGGAGAATGAGGTACCACTAGTGTTCTAGTGAGCAGAGTGCAAAGACTCTATGAAACATCCTGCAGTACACAGGACAAACTTCACACAAGAAAGCTTAGAGTAAAATGTCAAAAGTCTAGAGTTTGAATTTCTACCTGAATATTGTTTGGTAGATGGATTTGGCATGAAGTACCTAAATATGAAATATTTCGAAGGCTGGGAAGGTGGCTCAGTGGTAGAGTGCTTGCCTTGCATGCATGAGGCCCTGGGTGTGATTCCTCAGCACCACATAAGCAATAAAGAAAAAAAGCTGGAAGTGGCGCTGTGATGCAAGTGGTAGAGCGCTAGCCTTGAGCTGAAGAGCTGAGGAACAGCGCCCAGGCCCAGAGTTCAGGCCCCACGACCGGACCCCCCCCAAAAAAAAGAAAGAAAAAAAGAAATATTTCTATTCTCTTCAGTCTTTCATTCCACTCCTCATGATAACGATATGGGAGTTCTAGAGGAGATTATTTACTATGTACACAAACTGGGCAAGTTCAGACTTGTAATACACAGCATGTAAGTATAAACCAACTGTATTTTATCTTTGGGATTGATTCCCCCTACCCCCAGA